GGCACGAGAAGTGCAAAAACGCATAATCGCACCGGCCCGCCTGGTGCGTTCCAGCCTGGGTTTTGTCTTTTATCCGTGAAGCTGGGAAGGTTCTTCAATAGTTCTAAGACTGGAGACATTTTTTTAATAAAGTAGCATGAAGAATCAATACTGGCATCTACAAGACAAATCGTTTTATTCAGGAGGGAAGGGACTACTCACAGTTAGGCTCCTTCTGCCATTATATTTTTTTACAAACGCGGCCCAGACTTGTGCAAGAAGTGCTTTTGTTTTGCTGCGTCGATATCGTTTTTATGTTATATGGTGCATGAAAGGGTTTTTTTTAGGATGTGATATGAATGAGCTTGAAATAGATGTTGTTGTTTTGGAAGATAGGGGTGAAAGAAATGAGGGAAGGAAATTAAGTAGCAAATCGAGGAAAAGCGGATAGCGTAAACGATTTGGTTTCCAGCTCGGTGTTTCCTCGGAATCAGATCAGGAAGGTGATGCTGTGAATTACAATGCTGGTGATATATTATTTGCATTTTTGCGCTATCTGGCAAGCGAACAATTCGCACATGCGAAATGTATCCATTTTGGCTTGGGTGGTATGTCACGACAGGGCCAACGATTAGTTGCCTCAGTGCTGACACGCTTCGACCAGTGGGCTGCTCTTCATGCCGTAAGTTCTTTTCCAAAACCGAAGCAACAAGTAAATTGATTTTACATTCAACTGGTGCTTTTATCCGGCCGAATTATGCCTTATCTTCAGCCACAGCACTTGGTCCGTACTCGGAGTGGGGAGTCGGTTTTTACACGTTTCGCTGATTTCTCCGGCTGGGACCGGCCAAGCCATAGGGTCGTAGCATCTCGAGCCCTCACGAAAAAGAAAATTATCGGCAGCATTTCCAATCACATAGAAGGCTGTAGTTATATATATGCGAAATGTGATCACCGACTAAAAGTTTAAGAACTAATTCTGGCTGTAATCTAAAAAGTTGCGGAACGAAGGTCTCTTGTTATTATGTTAACGATTAGAACTTCCGTCAAAAGTGAGAAGCGTGCATGGCTTCGTTGTGATCATTAGAAAAAGTAAAATTCGAATATGTTGCTTGCATCGCTGATAACCGTAGGCTATGCGAATTAATGAGTGCTGTCAGCAAGAAAGCCAGCAATCATTCCCGGCGGTTTCAGATGGAACGCGCATATGCATTAAGCAGACGTTGGGTACTTTTTAGAGGTTTGTAGCTCAGATCCGAAAACTAAGGCATAGCTGAACGCAGAACTGGGCGCAGAATCCCAGTAACATATTTGAATTGGAGTCCCATACTGTTTGCCTTAGCTGTTTTGGTGCTTGATTTATAATGCACAAAACTCATATTCTCACGATTCTCTCAGTGTGTGCGTGTGTATGTATGGGTCTGTTTTTTGGGTGTGTGCCTGTGTCTGTGTATGTGTATATGCGTGTATTTCTGTTTGTCTTCGGAGCTCATTTTGTGCACTGCTTTCAACTCTGGAACCAAAAGAGCTTGAAACTTGAAGTTCCCGACAATTTATGCAAATAACAAATAGTAAAGTAGTTAACAATTTTTAACAGCCAGCGCCCACTGAACAGAATTGCTTAAAACGTATAAGTGCATCAGCTATCCTGGTGCGCGCCGCTCTTTGTTGTATACATCACGCTATCTCTACTTAACCCCCCACTTCTTGCCCCTAGTTCATGTTTTTTGCTTTTTAAAATCAGTTGTTAGCTTTTGAATTGAGGCATATATTGATTTTGCTTTACTTAAATGCCTGTTTTATGAATGCTGGAAACTTACGAAGATGCCATTTTCTAACAAATTTGTCTTTTTTAGTCAAATTTTTTTAAATCTGCTTTTTTCCGCAAACAGGTTGCATTTTCCGCTTTTCATCATTTGGCAGTAACAGCGGAGTTTACGTCACTTCATATTGTGTCGGAGGACAGAGGCACAGGTAGACGTGCTTGGGATTTTGGCGAATCCGACGTACCAATTATTGTGTCTGTTGAAACGCGTTACCGCAAAGGTCTCAGTTTGCACAGAATAAGTACTGTGCTTAAGGTTTGTTTATTTTATTCTGAACTTTTGTGAATTTTTGAGGAATTATGGTTCTAATGATGTATGAGTATTATGGAGTAGCATTGTTAAGTTTGTGAGTTGCTCTTAGAAAAGCTCCGAAAGCGAGCCCCATTACTGCATGGAATGGTACGAGTATAGTGCTGTGCATTGGTGTTTCTGTGCATTTTTATGCGTTTTTTGCATCTATGCAATGTGTGTGTGTGTCCGTGTGTGCGCTGCGCGTCTGTACCGATTTTTCATTTCGAGACCCACAAAAGCTACGGGGCTGAACCTTGGGGAACTTAATTTACATGCGTGTACGGGCCCTGTCTCCGAAATGGGCGCTCTTACCCGAGTGGTACCCACGTACGGACCCGCCAAAATTCCTTTCGGGTAAGTTGTTAACTCGGGAACCTGAAAAGCTAGGAGGCTGAAATTTTAAGAGGATGTTCCCCATCCAAGTAGGTATTAGTGAGTTCAAACTCAGCCTCGGGTATGCGCGGTACCCATGTACGGGCCCGTGAAAGTTTTCTGCGAGTAAATCGCTAACTCGGGAGTTAGAAAAGCTAGAAAGCTGAAATTTTACGGGGACGTTCCCTATCCAAGAAAGTCTTAATGAACTTCAAACCAGCTCCTGCGTACACGTGATTGCTCACATACGGGCCCGCCAAAATCTTTTTCCGGTAATTTGCTAACTCGAGAATCTGAAAAGCTAGAAGACTGTAATTTTTAGAGGATGTTCCCCGTCCACGTAAGTCTCAGTGAGCTCAAACTCAGACATCAGGTATGCATAGTATCCACGTACGGGCCCGTGAAGCTTTTTTCGAGTAAATTGCTAACTCAGGGGCCAGGAAAGCTAGAAAGCTGAAATTTTAAGGGGGTGTTTCCTGACAGTTCTAGCGACCAGTCTTAATTTGTTTAGCTAGAAGCATTTGCCGAAAAAACCGTGCCGGTAGTGACAAAAACTGCGGGGAACTATGCAAAAGACGCATCTTCGCACGGGCAGTCGTTGGCCAATTATTTAGAGTGAAATTATGACTCTGATGCTCATTTAATGCTGCAAGATCTCTTTTTCCAGAAATGGTCTAACGTGGATGAAATAATGATCCGAGGAACAAAACCTGAGCAGTTACTGATAAGCTGTGCTGGAAGTATTGCTGCACGTCAGCGTTTGCATCGAATATTGCTGATGGACCGGAAACAATTATTCGATGCTATACGGAACGATACTATGCCTCAGCAAGTTCGCCATGAAGCCTTGTAATTTATTCGCTCAATATACTTTGTTATTGTGTCTTTCATTCTCTGCCTTTAAAATTCTGGTTTCCACTGAATATTAGTGTTTGAAAAAACTTTGTGTTTGTTGTTAGTGTTATTGTTCTGGATCTCTGTTTTATTACTTTCTACGTTTGTGACACATTGAAATGTGTTATATAGATGCTTACTTAGTCCTACATGGCAATGAAATGTGCTGTGCGAATTGTATTATTTAGTCCTACATGACAATGAAATGTGCTATGCGAATTGCTAGGCGACAGTATTATTGTCTGGGACATATTATACTTCTAAAACTGTGACAAAAAATGAAATTAGCTGGAGTGAGAACAACCCTGGTTAGTTTCGATTGCACTGCCACACTTAAAATAC